CCCTCCCCTCCCTTCCCCTCCTCACCCTCTTCCCTCCCCCTCCCCCCAGCTCTCCCCTCCCCTCCCTGCTCTCATTCTCCCCCCTCCCCGCTCAGGTTCGGTTCCCGCTGTGCGCGGATTTTCCGCCTGCTGCTGCGGAAGCAGCACCTGGAGCAGAAGCAGGTGGAGGATTTCGCCATGATCCCGGCCAAGGAGGCCAAGGACATGCTGTACAGGATGCTGTCCGAGAGCTTCGTGGCGCTGCAGGTCAGCGGGGGGCGGCGGCTCCCTCAGCCCCCCAGCATGGCGGGGGTCGCTGAGCCCCCAGTGTGATGGGGTCGCTGAGCCCCCTATGATTGGGGTCACTGAGCCCCCCATGATTGGGGTCACTGAGCCCCCCAATGTGATGGGGTCACTGAGAGCCCCCCAACATGACGGGGTCACTGAGCCCCCCATGATTGGGGTCACTGAGTCCCCAGTGTGATGGGGTCACTGAGTCCCCAACATGATGGGGTCACTACGCCCCCCATGAATGGGGTTGCTGAGCCCCCCAACATGACAGGGTTGCTGAGCCCCCCAACATGATGGGGTCGCTGAGCCCCCTATGATTGGGGTCGCTGAGCCCCCCAACATGATGGGGTCGCTGAGCCCCCTATGATTGGGGTCACTGAGCCCCCCAACATGATGGGGTCACTGAGCCCCCTATGATTGGGGTCACTGAGCCCCCCAACATGATGGGGTCGCTGAGCCCCCAACGTGACTGGGGTCACTGAGAGCCCCCCAATGTGACGGGGTTGCTGAGCCCCCCATGATTGGGGTCACTGAGCCCTCCAACGTGATGGGGTCATGAGCTCCCCATGACTGGGGTCACTGGACCCCCAACGTGATGGGGTCGCTGAGCCCCCCAACATGATGGGGTTCTGAGCCCCCCATGATTGGGGTCACTGAGCCCCCAACATGACTGTGGTTGCCAATCCCCTATGATGGGGTCACAGCCCCCCAACATGACGGGGTCACTGAGCCCCCCAACATGATGGGGTCGCTGAGCCCCCCATGACTGGGGTCTCTGAGCCCTACAACATGACGGAGGTCACTGAGCCCCCCAACGTGATGGGGTCGCTGAACCCCGCATGTCTGGGGTTGCTGAGCCCCCAACATGACGGGGTCACTGGACCCCCAACATGATGGGGTCACTGAGCCCCCCAGGACTGGGGTCACTGGACCCCCAACATGATGGGGTCGCTGAGTCCCCCAACATTACGGGATCGCTGAGCACCCCATGATTGGGGTCACTGAGCCCCCCAACATGATGGGGTCACTGAGCCTCCCAATGTGATGGGGTTGCTGAGCCCCCCACCGTGACTGGGGTCGCTGAGCCCCCCAGCGTGATGGGGTCACTGAGTCCCCCATGATTGGGGTCACTGAGCCTCCCAATGTGATGGGGTCGTGGAGCCCCCCAACGTAGCTGGGGTCACTGAGGCCCCCAACATGACGGGAGTCACTGAGCCCCCCAGTGTAGCTGGGGTCGCTGAGCCCCCCAACATTATGGGGTCATGAGCCCCCCATGACTGGGGTCACTGAGCCCCCAACATGATGGGGTCACTGGACCCCCAATGTGATGGGGTCGCTGAGCCCCCCATGATGGGGTCACTGAGCCCCCCAACATGATGGGGTCGCTGACCCCCCGTGATGGGGGTCGCTGCGGCTGGGCCGGGGCTGAGGGCGCTGTGGGCGCCGCTGTCGGTCCGCGCTGCGTTCGCGGTGCGGCTGCAGCCCCCCCCCTTCCTCCCCCGCCCCCAGGAGATCCCGCGGACCCCCGACCACGCTCCGTCGCGCACCTTCTACCTGTACGCCGTCAACGTGCCGTCCTCCGCCCGCGTGCTGCTGCAGCGCTGCTACAAGGTGCCCCGCCGGCCTCCGCGGCGTCCGGCCCCGGTCTTACGGGGCTTCCCGGCGTGCGGCCGCCCCACGGCCCTACATACAGCCCTGTGTGCCACCCCATAGCCTTGTGTGCCACCCCACAGCCCTGTGTGCCACCCCATAGCCCCACACACCGCCCTGTGTGCCACCCCACGGCCCTACATACC